TGAGTTTAAGGACTATCTTCGGATAAGCTCCGAGGGATGCTTAATACCTTCCCCTCGAGTAACCAAAACCCTTACTCAGAATCTCACTGGTTTCGCAAATCAAAACAGAGTTTCCATTTACATATTTAAAAATGGTTTTCCTAATATTTTCCTTAGAATTTAGGTGGCAACTCTAAAACTAAAAACATATTTTTTCAAAATCAGAGTGTCAACCATATTATGTTGTGAATTGTTTCGGCTGGTTCGAAATAGGGGTGCAACAACTATGTATTCGCAAAGAGTTTAAAGTGTTTTCACATTTAAACAAGAAATGAAACCTTGATTTCCAAAGAGCCTTTGGCTAGTTTTAAGAAAAAAGTAATCGCTTTCTGAATTAAGCAAGAGAGGAAATTTTGATTTCCAAAGATAGCCTTTGAGCTAAGTTTTGAGCAATTATCTCAAATAACAGAAAGAAGTATGTTTTTAAACATAAAAGCTAGTATCATATTTTGGGAGTAGTATTGAGCACCGATATGGGAGAGAGTTCAGACAACTCATAACCCCCATGAACCATGTAGCCATCATGGATAGAAAATGGTCATATTTTTTAGAGGATTCCTTTAGTGCTTTTTAGCATAGACTAGTGGATCCACTTAGTAGTCAGGCTCTATATCCTCAGCAAGGTATAGGACGGCCCTGGCAGCGTGAGGCAAAACGCTATATCATCACAATAGCTCTTACGTGATGGTTGACGGTTAGAGAAACTCCCACAAAAGTAATTGTATTCTTATATACACAGTTTATTTGTATTTTTACATACATCTCAGAGTTATATTGTATCTTTGCATACACACAGAATTGACATCCATGTTTTAAAAGTTTTTCTTTATATTGCACTTGTTTTATACTGCTTTATATTGAAATGAGTTCAGTTAAGGTGATGTTGAGTTGAGCCAGGTAAGTTCTTCAGTTCCTTTCAAGCTTATGTCTTATTTTAGAATTCCCCTCGCATACTCGTACATTCAATGTACTGATGCCTTTTGACCTGCATCTTTGTATGATGCAGACACATGTAACCATGATCAGCATCCAGCTCATCGTTGATCCAGTTGAGCACTCAGAGTCTTGTAGTGAGCCTCCTTACTTTCCGGATGATCCCTTTTATTATTTTCATTATTATTATTAGTTCATTAGGATGTCGTGGGTCTTGTGCCGACATCAATCTCAGTTGTTTATAGGCTTCATAGACAGTTAGATGTTAGTTCTTGAGTTTTGTATTTCCTGTTTTAATGGTTGGGACTTGAGTTGCCACTTTTGGCCAGTGAATGTTATCTTGATACATTCTAAGTGTTTATTGAGAAGTTAAGTTTACTTTTAAAAGTATTTTTCTTCATGAGTTAAGTCTTCTGCTGAGTAAGTAAACCAGGCCTAGGGTTCGCTTGGGGCCAACAATGATTCTCGAGTGCAGTCCCGCCCAGGGTGTAGGCTCGGGGAGTGACAAAAAGTTAAGGTAAAACTCCATTGATTTAGAGTTTTCTTTCGTGGCTAGTGATTCTCCAAATGAGAAGAATGTCTATTTACTATTGCTAAAAAATTGACATGAAAATTATCACTGCAATTCTCGATATTTTCGACCGCTTAAATTTGGGAATCCAAAAATACAACAACTAGGAACAAAAGAGAAAGATGATATGTAATTTGTTGCGAAGAGAGTTTACGCAGTAATTGTGATAAACCTTAACGAGGAAGAGGATAAGAAAATGATTTTTTAGATCGAATTGAAATTTTTAATGTATCTGGCACATTATTGATGTATCGACACATTATTGAGTTAAGATTATATGTATCTATTTTTTATTAGTGTATATGTATCTAAATAAACATACACATGTATTGAAGATTTACACATGTATCTGGCACATTATTGATGTATCTGACACATTATTGATGTATACGACACACTATTGAGTTAAGATTATATGTGTCTCTAGTTGTTTATCATTGTATCTGATTAAGTGTATATGTATATGATAAAATATGCGCATGTATTTGAATAACAATTCATGAATCTGGGTTAAGAAGTTTAAATTTTGTTGAATCGCCAAAAAAATGAAGAATTTTGATTGTTTTTATTTTTTTAGGAGTTGTGATATGCTATATCCTTTAAAGTTGTTGCAAACGTGATTTTCTACTTAATTAATGGCTTTCAGTCATATCTCTTAATTGGACACACTCCGTAATTAATGTCTTTCAATTATATCCCTTAATTAGACACAGTAATTGATGCGAGATATATGTATATGAAAGAGACATATACATATATCTGAGACCCAAAATATGGTAAGAAATGTAATATTGCAAACTAGTGTGAATCTAAGTAATTAGATTCTAAAGTAGTGAAATTTGTGTAAGTTACTCATTTACTTAAAATCTCTCCAAATATTAGTTGCAGTGTATTTCAACCAGTATTTGTGATAATTCACGAAGAAAACCCGCACACCTATAGTTCAAATATGAGACTTAAATTTTGCAATGATGATATTTACCAATATTTATAGGCAACAAAAATTCTTTTCAACAAGATGACCATATGTGTATGTAATGTATCGATATGTATATATGATGTATCAATATTGTATAAATAGTGATAATTATGTATAGATGATGTGTAACTACGTATAGGAGATGTATATACATCTATATACATTGTTTATACAGTATTTCTATATTGCAGATCGATTTATTTTCAATCTCAACCAACTCAAATCTCCTCTATACAGTCTCAAAATTTAGATATGAACTCCTCTCAATGTTTTGAGTCTTTTGATATATTATTCACTCAAAATGATTCACTTTTGTGGCGTGGTGATTTTTAAAGTCAAATTTTGAACAAACTTTGTACATGGAAGAAGACGAAGACGAAGAAGAAGCAGGAGAAGGAGAAGGAGTACATTCCAGACCGATTTATTTTCAATCTCCACCAACTTAAATCTCCTCTAAACAATCCAAAATTTAGATATGATTTTTTTTCAATGTTTCGAGTCTTATACTATATTATTCACTCGAAACGATTCATATTTATGGCATGCTAATTTTTAAAGTCAAGTTTTAAACAAGCTTTGGAATAAGAAGAAGAAAGAGGAAGGATGAAGGAAAGCAACGAAGAAATAAGGAAGAAGGAAGGAAGGATGAAAGTAGCCATTAATGGCCGGAAGAAGACCAAAGTAGGAAAAAAGAAGAAGAAAAGAATGCATCAAAATACACTTTGCATGCAATAGCACTGGCCGAATGATTATTTTACATAATAAGTGATAATTTAAGTAGAAAAATCACACTCATAGTTCAGATATGAAACTCTAAAAATGAAATACTTTAGGGTGTGTTTTGACCCTTCACTCTAAATAATATTTAATTGTTTGAATGAGTTTTTTCCTAAAAAATACAAACATGATTTTAAACATGAAATATGATTTAAATGAGATCATTATTATATATATAAAAAAAAATAGGGTAAAACTTGAAAAAGAAAAATATATAGTGAAAACATGGTTTTGGGTGTTTTCCATAGTCTAAATACAACTTCAAATTGTATTTGGAATTTTCACTGCCAATTTTCAAATAAAGTGAAAAAATAATATTCTCATGACCAAACGGGTCATAAACATTTTTGAAAAACTTCATCAAGTATGAACCTAGAATAAATGTTGGATTTATTCATAAGAAATATAAGGTAAAGTTTAGAGGCATAATACATTGTGATACATAGAAGATACTACTAGCACCTAGAGAAACTATTATCATAATTCATGTATTTTGTTTCATTTATAAAGTTAAGAGTATACATACCAAGTGGGAGAATGTTAGCATTATCTAAAATGGCATGTAACTTCTATATATATGATGCAACTCCCTCTCCCTATTATGAAAAAATTCCCAGAAATTGCTGCTTATTTATTAGAGGTCTCTAACTACCTCTAGAATTAACACTTGAGGAAAACATTGACAAATACATCAAAACAATGACAGGAGGTATGTCGATAACTATTTTTGCAGCGAATTTTCTCTGTACATATGTTTAAACATGCTTAAAAATTGTACAAATATATCCCAAATTCGCTTTTAAAACTAATAAGTACATAAAGTTTATATTTGAAGTAGTAGTTGTATAATTACTAAGGTTTGTCCAATCTTACTCATGATTATAACATGTATTAGAATGCAAGATAACTGCCTGTTTACTAAGGCCGGAAGTTGGTTCGTTGAGCAATAGGAGATAGAAGGATTAACAAAGATTGCATACCCATAGAAGCACTAGGAAAATGTTGACCACGATTTCTAAAACAACAACAACCTAGTGTAATCTCATATAAGTGGGGTCTGGGGCCTTGTGTGTGTATGCACGCGCAAGTGCTTGTGTAAATAAATTAGACATATTTTGATCCTCTGAACTCGAGATTCATAATATTTAAATTCTGGATTCATAACTGCCAATAATCAATGTTGAAAGAACTAAGGACAGTCAAATTAAGCTAGAAAGCTTAAACAATGGAAACAAAAGGCCAACTAGTCTTGATAAGAAGCAAATTAAATTACGTTATTAATCATAGAGATAAGAAAAGACTTTGATGTAAATTTTGCATGTCCCAAAACTTAATAAGTAGATGAAATTAACTAGCAAAAATGAAAGCATGTTCTTGAAACATACCAAAATCCGAAGGAAAATGTGAGAGTTCTCACAAAAGACCTATCTTGCTCAGAGTCTTCAAAAACGTTGTTGCACCCGTGTCGGGGAGCCATGTCGGGGAGCCAAAGAGTACTCCGAGGCCGATCGGATCTCCAGCCAGATCCTCCAAATATACACCACTTTATGATGTATCCCACACACACCGATCGACATTGAGGAGTCCAAGCAACATAGCTTTCAACTAATTAGAAAGAATGCTAGTCCTACCTCTGCCAGCATTGACAATAGAAAAAAGAGCATGAAAACTTAATGAGGAAAAGCACCTGCTGAGTGTATGTCATCTTGTTAATAACCATCTACCAAGACATGAATCGAGCATGCTCTTCGTCCTCCTCATCTACCGGAGCAGGAAGATTAAGATCGAGTAAATCAGCAACTTCGCGCTTTACAGCTGAAGATTGTTGATTGAGATTCTCCTGATCACCACCATTAATAAAATGTGACCTTTTGTGGCCTCCTAAAGCTTGGCCAGACTTGAACATCCTATAGCAAAACGGACATTTGTGTCCTTTAGATTTTTTCGGTTTAACCTTTTTCTCAGGTTCATAAGGCAAATCTTGAGAAGGAACTACTTGTTTTTTGTTGCGAAAAACGTCCCTATGCTTGCCAATTTTTGTGCATTTAGGATCATTATGATCAGCACCAAGGCTATTCTCACCAGTTTCATATGTTGATTCAGAATAATCATTTACTTTTTTGTGGCACGGTCTGTGTCCACCAAGTGCCTGATATGAGCTAAACACCTTCTTGCAGTTCAAGCACTCGTATTTTCTTGTCTTATGGATATCATTTTTGTATCCTTCAGGACTTTTAACACACAACTTCATCTTCTTGGAGTCATTCCTTATCTCTGGATCATTATATCGATCTGTGGTTCTCTTTTTTGATTCACATATATACGAATTTGAGGCTAATCCATAACCATCGCGTTCAAATTTCTTACCCAAATCCTTACTTGACTCTGTTATATATTGTTTGATTCTTCTTATCCCCTTTTTCTCGTCCATCCTATGCTCGTCTAACCAAGCTTGAAAACTCATTTTAGAGGTACTCCATTTTCCTTTACTATTTCCTACGAACCTCTCAACAGAGCCATCTGATTCAACATTCCCATTTTCGCCTAAGTAGTAATCTGAATCAGAATTCTCGGATTGAGTTTCAGCTTCCAACATATCAATCTTCGTAATTCTGTCTCTGTCTTTCTTCATTCGAAGCTTTTCATCTTGATTGTATACAAGTTTAACACCGTTCTTTCTAGCATTATTCCTCATGTCACTAGACGACGGTTTAGTCTCTAAAATAGCAGAATTGTTATCAGAAGTCTCCACATGTGAATTAACACCATTCCAAGACCTAGAATCCCTTGACAACATTATCAAACACTTGGCTAATTCTTCTTGTTCTTGAACTTGATCAATCTCAGACACAGAAGACGAACAATTATAATTATTCGACTTAATTACAATTTTGTTGTACCTCTTAGTAGTCTTTGATCTACAACTCTGACTGATCAGCTCACCAGCTTCAGTATCTGAATGGCTATGATCACTACTAGTCCATGAGTTATCATCATCGTCGTCATCATCATATTTCAAGCCCCCTGTATCTTTTTCTGAATGACAAGCCATATGACCACACAACGCTTTCATGGATGGAAAGCCCTTCCCACATTGTTGACACACTCTTTCTTGAGGCAGCGGTGCGGTGTTCAGCTGCGTGTCAGATTCTCCAAAAGTAGGGTTGTGTGTCATTATTTTTGGAGAGTCCGAACAATATAGATTAGAATCCGCCTCAACCCTCCAAGTTTTCTTGGGATTCTCTCTAAGAACATAACCAGAAGGAATCCCACTGGATTGATTCTTCCCACTACTAATATTCCAAGATTCCATCTTTTTCAACTTAGCAGTTTCAAATTTTTCATCAACTGCATGAGACTTTATGTGACCTCCAAGTGACTTCCCACATGGATACTTCTTGTTACACCACTTGCACACAAACTTCAAATCTTGATCTCCTTCCATTAAGTAACAATTGCTATAATTGTTATACTTAATCAAATCAAAGTAAAAACTAAAATCAACTTAAATAATTTCACACCGTATCGTATCTTACTGACAATCACTATCCAAAATTCCAAAAAGACAGAGGAATCCCACATAAAAGTCAGAACGCAGAATCTCAGATCAAAGGAAAGAAACAAAAAAAAGAACAAAACTTTGAAAAAGCTCAAATCTTGATTATGGATCAAGTGATACAAATGGAACTTTTTAGGAAGTAAAAGATGTTAACCCATAGAACAAAAAGGTAAGAGAGGAGGAAGAGGGGTGGGAGGTGTTAAATCTTTTTAATTAAGATTTCAAGAATCCTATTTGGAAAAATTACATTTTGAACAAATGGATCACTAGCAAGTAGCAATAGCCATAAAAGTAGCCAATATTCAGGAGACTTAGAAGAATAAATCACAACAGAAAACCAAACCAAAGACTCTTTCCTATACCCCAACCCCAATTCTTTGTGTTGTAGTTATAGGAGAATTCCATACATGGAATGTGACTATATGATAGAGAAAAATAACAAATAAAATATAATAAAATGGGCCAACGTGTACTATTACACCTTGTTTGGATGGATGTTACACGTTTGTATCGCAGTTCAAATACAATATTTGTTTTGATTGTCATATAATCATTATTTGAATATGTACTTTTCATTCCGTCTTTACTTTTTATTTAAATAAGTTTGTTTTGTCATTTACCCAATTTTTTCATAGTAGCTCTTTCTCCTACCATACTTATTTTGTAGGCAGCGTGACCACATATAGCTGAGGGTGGCAAGCCGGACACTCTTTGTTAAAAAATTATAATACATATAGAGAAAATTATACTAAGGATATAAGTTACAATTTTTTTTTCATACATATATATTAAATCTTGAACAACCTTAAGGAAGTTTCTGGTTTCGCTACGATTTCTTGTAGGTTTATCATTCAAATTATTACTCTAATATGTAATGATGGAAAATAATACATTCTATCCAAATATTGTATTCATTAAAATAATTCCATGCGATACAATACAATACAATATAATATGGTACATTATGAAACAATGTGTAATAACCCTCCGAACAGAGTATTAGGAGGAATTTTGATTCCTGCAAAATCAACGGTCAAAATCTGCTGGCTACTGTTATCTGAGGGTTGAGATTAAGTTTTAAGAAAAATAACGTGTCAGCATTTGTGGGAAATGGAATTGAGTTTAACAAAAGAGTTTGTAAGCTATCACATCACCTCAAAAATAAGAGTTTAAGTTATATATAAATATTTATCAAATTTAGAAATTTGTTACATTATCACGCAAACTTAAAAGATATTTATAAACATGTCTCTTTAAATTTTATATAAAGAGCTCAATAAAAAAGATTCTATAATTTTGAATTCATAACTGATATATATATATCTTACCTAGCTCCTCTATTTTTAATATTAAATAATGTATATAGCTTAAGCCACAAAAAAAGATAACAACTCATAATATGTAAATTCAGTTACTTGAGAGACTATGAAATCTAGGGGTGTACATCAATCAATTCGGTTCGTTTGATGTATTATTGGTTTGATTTATTAATTTTGGATTTTTAAATACACTAAATTAATAAGATATTTTTTATCGATTTTTGGTCCTTAACTATTCGATTTTTAGTTTAACCAATAAAAAAATACTCATACAATAATCATATGACTTCTCCAACAATTTAGTGCTGCAAGACGATAATGTAACTTTATGCAATGTTCGTAAAATTGAGCAACTCAAATAAAAGAACTAGGCCAATAATATGAATTGAAGGCTAACGGTAACGAGCAAAGGTAGTAACCAATAAGGTATTGATATTAATATTAATATTAATATTTAATATTTATGTAGGGGTAAAGTACTAAATTAATGTTCATCCCTTAATGAGTTATCGGTTTACACAATAACCCATTATTGAAAAACTAATATCAAACCAATAACCCATTAATTATTATTTTTTATAAAGCCATTAAAAACCCATTAGTCCAATAACATTTTTATTGGTTCGGTTTATTGATAGGAAAAGAACACTTGTAGCCCCCAAAGGAAAATTATTTACAAGCGACTGCCCTCTTGCATTCATACCCCTCTATTTTTAACTGTTAATTCACTTTTACTGCTTGAAAGAGGAAGAGACAGTGCTTTAGTGAAAACACTACTCAGTTACTCATTGAAACCATTAGAGTATATATATACTCTGATGACATCAAGGAGGAAGAAATAGCGTTTCAGTGAAAAGATTGTTCAACTACTGCTTGATACTATCGGAGTATATAGATACCATCAGAATATATAGATACCATCAAAGTATATATATACTTCAATGGTATCACCAGTGATTCAGTAATTGAAACAGGGGGACAGTCAGGTAAATAGTTTGGATTGTGAGTCCAATAAAAAAAAATTAAGTTGAATCAAATTTGAATAAATATTTTACCTAATAAATTCAATTTATGTAGTTTTCCCTTGATTGATCTGTACAACTTTTGCATAAAAAGACACAAATTCAACCAAGAGGCAAGATTAAACGAAGAACCAAAAGCACTAAGCAGGCAGATTACATACATACATATAGAAGACATTGTGAGAAGTACGGTATTAACAAAATACCCTTTACACCTTAATTTGGATGGTTGTTACCCGTTTGTATTGTATTATATTGTATTATATTGTTAGTTGAAATATATGTTTGATTGTTATTTGAATTATATTATATCGTATCGTTTAAATTTATTGTTAGGTAATATTGTGTTCTTCTAATTTTATCTTTACTTATTATTTAATAATTCTATTTTTTCATTTACTCTACCTTTTCACAGTAATTCTACCAAGTATCCTACAATTTCTTGTAGGTTTATCATTCAAATTATGAATATGCGACATTATGTAATGACGGAGAACGATACAATCTATCCAAATGTTGTATTATTAAAACAATATAATACAGTACAATGCACAATACAATATAATACAAAACAATACAATATATACAATACAGATTGGGGTATCATCACCAAGTAAAGCGTAGTCAGTAAAAGAAATCCTATTCCTCGGATATGCTCTTTTTACTGCCAACCATACAATATAATGGTGTGACAATCCAAATAATGACCAAGATCCGTAGTAACCCAATGATTGTCCAGTGCACTGATTTACGTTCAATAATCCAAGGGGCTTCATCTAAGTAGAGTGAAAGATGGTCCTGCCCTCCTATTTGATTCAGGCAGTCATTTGAAAGTGCTCACTGGAAAGGCAACCTCACTCATTCTTGTCGGGAGGTAAGACAAGAAATGTGTTGAGGCACAACGAGCTGTTGACTATTGAAGATGCTAAAGTACTCCCGAATAGACAAGACATAAGGGAGTATATAACGCTCAATGGTCAACGGTTAGTTGCTGATTTTAAGTCAAAGGAAAATGTTTGACGTTTTCTCTTTGATTTAAATCTCAACAACGGACCCTCTTGGTCGAAAATTCCATCAGTTGGAATACTAATTATATCAAATCATTTGAAATTGAAGAATCTCGATAGTTAATCCATCTTGCGGAGGCCCAAAATTGGATATCAACAACAATAATTGCTTAAACATTAGTTGTGAAAATTAATATGTTTAAGATGGAAATAAATTGAAATGTTTTTTTTTAAAAATAAAATGAATGAATATATTATTTATTTATTATGATTGCGCAAAGCTTGGCCTATTAATATAGTATAAAAGTAGAAATTTAGAAATAAGAAAATAAATATTATGAAGACATACCTATCCCAACAACGGCGGACATCCCTTGAATCAATCTTTTTTTGTCACGTGGCCACATCAATTATAAAGAGAGGGAACTACTAATGCATAACAATCCGTTGTAGTCTAGTTGGTTAGGATACTCGGCTCTCACCCGAGAGACCCGGGTTCAAGTCCCGGCAACGGAATTTTTTTTCCTTTTTCCCTTTCTAAAGTTAAATACAAAAGCATATATTCAATAAATAAAATAAAAGACATTAGTTTCCACAATTAATCTGAAAATTGACTTTTTTCCCTTTTTTCCTTTCTAAAGTTAAATACAAAAGCATATATTCAATAAATAAAATAAAAGACATTAGTTTCCACAATTAATCTGAAAATTGAAAAAAAAATTAACTATGAAGGAAAAAATTAACACTGAAAAAAAGAAGAAGCAAAAATAAAATAAAATTATGTCTAGACGGGGCCCTAAATTACCATGGGAGTTTATACCTCTATTGATTCCATTCAGTGAAAGGAAAGTTGTCCTTCTATCATGAGCTTTATATCTAGGATATGCAGCCAACCTTCTGGAAAGAGAGATGTGCATAGACCTGATCGGTCAGTAGGGATACAACTTAGTGAACCACACTACTAAAAACCTGCTAAAAAATGACGGAAGTAAAAGGGATGGACGGCGTCGCTCCAAAAAGCGACGCCATTAGCCACACTGTCCGGCGCTTTTTAATTAAAATAATTTTTTTTAAAAAAGCGACGGAATACATCCCTTAGTCCGTCGCTTTTTTTTTTGCGGATTTTTGCGCCAAATATATATATAATGAATAATTAATTATTTTATATAGATAGTGACGGATTGCGACGGACAACATCTTTATGTCCGTCGCTTCTTGGTCAAAATATCTAGTCAAATATTTTAAGAAAGCAATAGACAGTGTCTCTTAGTCCGTCGCTTTTTGGTCAAAATGTTGGTCAAACATTTAAAAAAAAGCGACGGACAAAGAGACGCTGTCCGTCGCTTTCTTTAAAATATCTGCACTTGCAGACACAATTTTCCCCATTTCTCCATCTCTCTTCCTCTCTCTCGACGCCGACGCTGCCCATCGCCGACCCCGACCCACTTCCCTTCTCCTTTAATTCAAGGTTAGGGTTTCATAATATTATTTTTAATTTCTTTCAATTTGAGTATTGAATTTGTTAATTATTGTATTGAATTAATTTTTTTATTGATTGTTAGTTAATAAGTGAATGATTTAGGGTTTTT